GATTTATGGAGTCTCTTAGATATTATCTTCCCACTTGGACCTCCGTCTAGCAAATGACAGCCTACTAGCCTTTTTCTTTGCTAAAAAAGTGTAACCACCCTAAAATAATCTTCTCTACTCTTGGTCCCGGGGGAGGGGCACGCGATAGATTAGTTAGTTGAGGCACTATGCTACAAATCGTAAGGTCGCGGGTTCAAGTCCCGATTAGGTCATTGCATTTTTTTTTTCAATTGACCTAATCCTTCTGGGCGTACTATGGCCCTGGGGTCGACTCAGCCTCTAACTGAAATGAATACCAAGAATATTCTTGTGGGTAAAGGGCGGCCGGCGTGTAGAGCTGACAACCTTGCCTCCATCTATGAGCCGATTATCTAGCAATTGTGGGAGCCTCAACATCTCACAACCCTATGGACCCCCACGGCCTGTTACAGGGATACCCTTACATTTTACTTTACTGTTGGTCCGTAGTAATTGACTGCCCTCAAATCTGTGTCCGAAGTGACGTGTAAGAAGTTCCTGAACTGCAGGAAATTTAATTAAGGACGAAGAAGAGACTAAAATCTGTATATCCCCAATATAGAACATCAGCAGTCAAGGTTAGGGTCGTTATTTTCTTTTACCACAAATATTCCCTGTTGCCTCAGATTAGGCTGGGGCCACACGAGGGCGTCCGTTGTAACGAACGTCGTGACGTCCGTTGTAGAAATAAACAAAAGATGCAAATGCTATGCTTTCTTCTGGCTCCATTGCAGACAAAAAACTACGCACCGCATTCTGCAACTGTGTGGTGTCCTCAGCAACGTCCGTCATAAAGTACGTTCGTTACAACGGACGCATTTTGTGCGCTCTTGAGGCCCCAGCCTTAAGGTCCCAGCCTTAAGGTAAAGGAATTAGCTTGGGCACTCTTCGAACTTGAAGCTGGCTGCAGCAGGTTCCTCCAAAGAGTTGGAAACAATCTACCAGACTAAATTGTGTCATAATATTGTATTGCCGCATCCTGTTACACTGTTTACTTCCCAGTCTTACGTCCGACAAAGCTATCGCCTTCACAAATTTTAATAGTTTTAAAACACACGCAACGAAGAAGACAACAAGGAGGAGCATAACACACCAACACACACACATCAGAGGGACCGCGTATACATCAGAAACCAGTGAAAGCAGTGATTTCCTCATTAGATATATTTTTAATATCTTGTGATGTCCATGTTGGCCCAAACATGTACTGTATTTTAAGACTATTTTAGACTTGTAAATGTGATTAGTTTTGTGGAACGTAGTGTTGCACGTAAGACTGTGAGTGATCGACGCAAGGACATGGTGTCACTTCACAGTTACGGTCGTGAAAATCTTAGTTTTTGTATAGTATTCATCTTGATGTTCCACAAGAATTCCTTGTTCAGGTTGACGACTATTTACTTGAATATTTGAATATTTGAATAACTGAATACTTGAATACTTCCGGTTTAATTTACCGGAATTTGATGCCTTGGTCCTTCAGTCCAGCATCCCCCTGAAATTACAATTCCTATGGTACAGAACACACTAATATTTTAGTTATGATTATCCTATTGCTACTCCTACTTCTCCGCTTATCTCAGTTTATTTGTACTTTACACTTCTTTTTGTACCATCCTGTCCTATTTCTTTTTATATTTAATTGTATATATATCCTATATAGGTCACACCTTTTCTATATTGCTCTCTAAACTTGCATTCTACTGTCCTCCTGAAGGATATTTATGCATTGGTATTCTTGAAGTTCGCCGGTCACGGTAGCCGAGCGGTCTAAGGCATGTACTGTCTTCGCTCGCTCGGAAGCCGGGATCGTGGATTCGAATCTCACTCAGGGCATGGATGTTTAGTGCGTGTGTGTGCGTTTTTCTGTGTTTGTGTACAGGTAGAGGCCTTGACACGAGCTGATCACCCGCCCAAGGAGTCCTACCGTATGTGTAAGATCTAGAAAAATCGAAGTGAACGGAGAAGTTCATGGAGGTAGGCCTAGGCCCACTGGTGCTGTTGTGCCAAGGAAAAAAAAATTCTTGAAGCTTTCGTCTGAAATTTGGGGCCCTCAAATTATTTCCTTCATATCTCAGTGTGTAGTTTTAAAATTTTTCTTTGCTACATACGGAATAAATCTCCTGTTCCCGTTTCCTCCTAACCTCCGTTAGTATCCAGGCTCCTATTCTCTGCCATATTCTTCCCCTATCTTCAGCTGTAGACATTCCTTGTTCTCCCAGGGGGTGATTTAGCTTCTCAGTAAGGACTCTGACCAATGGAGTAAGACCTGTTTCTTACTGCAGTTATAATGGCAACATAACTAACATACATTGTTATTATTATTATTATTATTATTATTATCATCATTATTATAGAAAAATTAAATTTTAATGTACTACACACCAGGCATCTTCACCCAGACATTTTGTTTTTAATAAATGTTTATAAGAGACTTATATCTTGTCCCAGTTATGGAAACAGTTCATATTGGTATTCCTGCTAGGAACATACGTAACCTTTCTATTTTCAGTTGGTCGTCCAGTCGCTGTCCTTCAGATGGATGTGCTTTTGCTGGTAATGCAGTTTTAAATCGATAAATATTTAAAAAAAATGTTTCCATTTAAATAACTGATTGATATTAGTCACTTGTTCTGTAGTAGTACTTATTGCTGTTTGTTACTTAGTGTCAGTTCTGACTGTAATGGACAGGTTTCAAATTCAGCGTGTAGATAAATTCAATTCAATTCATGTTTATTTACGTGCAATAACTTAACAGCACAGTGGCCAATTACAAAGTTGGCACGAGTATATAAGGTACAGAAAATAATTAAAACAAAATACAAATATGACAAATAAATATGTGAGCATAAATCTAAAGAAGACTGAAATATATACATACATTTATGAAATATTATGAGTGTTGCTAATACTGCTAGTAACTAAATACTAAGATAAGACAACTGGGAGTAATAGCATAACATTAATAACAAGTCAATAAATTAAAACCAATTACATAACAAAATTAAAGTTAGCCGAGGTATACACATTTGTAGTTAATGAAAACACTAATCAAGTAACACTGTAAAAGGTTTGGTACATGCTTGTAAAATATGATTCAGAGAAACCGCTCCGTCTGCAAATATGTCGAGATCTTTACCCACCACGTTGGTAGCAAGGGCGCACCGAGAAGAGGAACAGTGTATTTTTGAGGGACGAACGCTAAAAGTAGAGAAGTCTCGAACATGGCAAGTAGGAACACGAAGACTAAATAGCTAAATAATTTAATTTCGTAATAATATTATGGGTCATTATGTTACGAAATCAACGTTTTAAGACGTAAAGCATTCAACTGAATTTTATTACTTATTTAATTATTAATCATAACGGAATGCAGGATATTTCCTCCGAAGGAACAACTTCCATAACACTGTTCACGTCATGCTGCAGCGGTTTACAATCTGAAACCAGATTCCTGGAATAAACCATAAACTTACAAATATTTTGATTTTACTTCACAATTTTGTTGTAGAATTACTGGCAGGATAAATTGGCACTGGGCTTTGCATTCATTCAGTTAGAACTTCTATTTTCATTTAGATTATAGTAGGCTTACATTATCTGCTTGTTGTGTTTACATAACAATTTAATTAATTCAACTATTACCTGTGCCCTGGATCATTTTTTTTTAAACGATTCACTATTTGGGCTCAGTTCTTATGCCTAACGGCTTTCTCAGATTCTTAGACTAGTACTTTATTCACTCATGTAGATCACGCGTAACAGCTTTGATATTATGTGCCTAATATTTTCTAAGTTTTCCTTTTATCGCACGACGGAGCAGTGAGGTCCAGGGCCTGCTTTCTGGGTTTTGGGATCTTATTTAGGCCTATAGACACCTGATAGGACTCCTAGAACGGGGGAGCGGCCCTCCATGAGGCCTTTTCTTACACAGAGCAACACAGACACAGAAGAAACGCACGCAGATATCCATACGCCTACTGAGACAGACTCCCAGTGCTCTAGCGGTTTAACGCAGCACGCGCTTTAGACTGCAAGACCATTGTGATCAGCAAGAAACCAACCCTAAACCTCGGCCTGTAGCGAAGAATGATTCTCAACGCAGCTAATAATAAAACCTCTGGGCACGATTCTGCCAGCTATATCCCCCCTCAATCTTCGCATATAAGCCTGTTATCCTGAACTTATTGAAAATTGCTTTTCACAAGAATGAAGACTATATTCTTCCCATATATGACTGATTAATGACTGATTAAATTATTAAAGAATAAATTGTCTTGTCTGGTTTAAAACTCTCCAGGGCCCACGGTAATCCGTATCGTGATGGACACAGTAGTTTCGGCGTTACCTGCCGGCAAAACGGAAAATTAAAGCAGGTCTGTTATTAAAGTGGTATCTTATCATGTAAAATTAAATTTATGGTAGTTTATGATGTAAAATTAAATTAATCTATGATAAAATATATTTACACGCCCCCATTCTCCGGTGTACCTACAGTTTTCACATGCACTGATTGTGTCTCTCACTCAACCCTTGGCACAGAGAGAGACAGCGACAGAGGTGTGCTTATAACCTCTGCATGTCACCACGGATCCTCGTGTGACAGGAAAAATAAACACACTTGTCCAACGCAAACACAAGCAAATCCTGTTTGTTATGTATAGCCAACCTCCCTCACCCCATGTTGTATTATGGCCTATAAATCTTCAATGATGAGTCTAGTAAAGCCCTGACGGCAATTATTCCATATAAACAAACAAACCTTTCGGTATGTACAGATCTGGTCGAGCTACGTAAAAAGCCACTGATGCAATAGAAAATAACTGAACTTTCTCTTGCGCCAACTATTTTCTAGCAATTCCGAATATTGTCCTCGGACTCAATAAAAGTATATAGATCTACATGGCCTATACTGTATGAGTATGAGGGGTGAGCCATAAAACTGGCCCTAGCACTGCGACCTTCAATGGTCTATTGTGCTTATAAATGTGGAAGGCTTCTCGATTTTGCGTGTCATCCTTGCGCAGGCGCCGTGCTAATCTTCTCTGTATCGTTCCAATTGTAGTATAAGCACCGCCGAAGTGAGTACGGCCTATACTGTAAGTTCGGATGAATCGGATCTCACAGAGGGAAGTCATCCAGTGCGCCATACTCAGTGGCTGACAAATTACCCCTATTCCCAATAACATATATTTCTTCTATTGTGACTGCGCTCCAACCTGAAATGCTGGCTCGAATTATGTAAAGGCTGCAAACGGCCCTATTGAACCGAAAGCATGTGAATGAATGGGACCACCACTCCTTTTCACAGTAGAGCAATTCTAGTTACTAGGGTTGAATATGGTCGGACCACCCATTGATTCCTTGTTATTACCCTTAAATTTTTGTGACGCATGCATTTTTGTGATATTTAGAAAATTTTCATTGTATGCTTAAATTTTTTTAAATTCGTTTAGTAGGGGGTGGAGTCAAACTGGATCCAATCGGCACGGCGGTCACTGATTGGCCTATTGTAGCCTGCCCCGGGTGATTATGATCATTATGATTTTGGAGAATTTGGTGCAATGAAGATTGGCAGGGGAATCCGAAGTACTCGGAGAAAACCCGCCCCAGCGCCACTTTGTTCACCATAAATCCCACTTGAGAGGACCCGGGATAGAACCCGGGCCACCGAGGTAGGAAGCCAGCGACTAACCGCTTGAGCTATGGCGCGGCCTTCGTGTGTGTGCCTTCTCGGTAAGTTTCCAGAGTTTATGCATGCACACTGCCGTCTACAACTGCTCCGTTGAATAGAATTTAAGTAGGGCTATTGCTGGAAGTCTCATTTAAAAACAAAATAAACTTAACGGAAAGATTAACTTTGTAAATTTTCCCAGAGCAGTTTCCTTCACCCGAGCTGTTTCACTGATACATAACAGTCCACTAATAATGGATTTGGCGCTCAGAATTCGTCAGTATATGCTTTAATTTCACTAGCACTAGCAAGAAATTTCAAATCGGTATAATATGTATGCGTTAATTTCAATGTTAACATCAACTAATATTAGAAACATAATTATTTAAGCTTATCTTAAAATACTAGCCTGAAAACAAAAATGTGTCACTCTAACATACACTTGTTTCCACGCAACATTTTTTCTTCCTCATGCTCACTGATGTCCACAGAAACATTCAGATGGCAGCAGCGATCACAACGCCATCCGTAGCATTGGCAGCGGAGCTCTAGCTAACCAAAAGCAGCCCCATTCGCCCGAACTTACCTTATATACGTACTCCTACTGCATGGTTCATACGGCTACTCAGATCGGTGCCTGGTCTCGCCATGGCTCAAGCGGATAGTCGCTGGCTTCCCACTGCGGCGGCCCGGGTTCTCCCGGGTCCTATCAAGTGGGATTTGTGGTGAACAAAGTGGCGCTGGGGCGGGTTCTCCCCGAGTACTTCGGTTTCCCCTGCCAATCTTCATTCCACCAATTCCTCCACAATCACCCTCACCTATCATCTGGGGCTGATACAGTAGGCCAGAAGTGGCCGCAGTGCAAGGGACTTAATCCCACCCCACTAGCAATAATAGATCGGTGCCTACTGAAAGCGGAGAAACCACCTCCTCATTGGGTTCCTCCAAAACATTGGCAACAATCTAGCAGACCAACTATAACCCAAAATAACTAAAGTCTATATGTCCACCACCGGTAGAGCTTCAAATTGTTACCCATTTACTTAAAGAGAAAACAGTTTTTATTAGAACACATTGCTTTATGTTTTATCGAGTGATTTACTCATTGCTCGATTACTTAATTAACCGTATAGTTTACCACTCACCACTTTGTGGTTGAAACTTTTAACGAAGTAGGGGTTAGTGGTTTATTTTTCGACTATACAAATCAGCGTAGGTAGGATGACTGATGAACAATGAATAAGAAAGGATTTGGAAGGAAGCCATAGTGGCCAAATCGAATTAATATCCTGTCATACTTCAGAGAGTGAGTAGATCCACGATGGGGCTCAGTCAGTGTGCAAACCCAAATTCGAACAGGAAGCCACCCGCATACGAGCCCAGAGAGTTACGCTGCATCACCACACTGGATGACGTATGGAAGTGATGGCGACTATTAATCATCCCAGCAACGAGCAGCGTGTTGTTCACCCAGCATCACTGTAGCCGCATTGCTCTGTCGCCGAAGGTGTCGATCTTGTCCCGAAGCGGGTCCTCCATAAGTGCACTTACATTGCACTGGTGTTCTTGTAATGGTATTTATGGGGCAGAGAAACATGATTCTAGTGCCATAATTTTTCTAAACGAATCTGTAATCACAGCTGCTTGTTTTCTCAATCCTAATTAACTAACCAACTAACTAACTAACTAACTACATGGAACTAGGTCCTTCTTGAGGTGCCATCAGTTGCTTGGGAATAGTCAGAAACATGAAGAGAAGAGGCCATTTTGAAGGACGTGTTTCCACAGGATCTCATAACTCTCTGAATATTGTATGACCAAGGATGGGCAGTTACGTGGGCTCGCGAGTGACGCCACCATCTCGAGAAAGTTCTTCAGAATAAACGTGCTGCCTATTTTTGGATATATTATATTTCCCAAAGTATTATACATACGTTACAAGTATGATTGATACATGAAAAAACTGCAAACTCACCAAGTTTGCGTCGTGATACACCAGTTGGCAGCATGAGTGCAGTGCCTCACAAAATGGCGACGAAGCTGGAGAAGAGTTTCTGTGTGTTGGAATATGCGAGATGTTCGTCTGTTATTGCAGTGCAGCTTGCATTCAGAGCAGAGCGCATAAAAGAACCGCCATGTAAACAGAGCATTCTGCGGTGGTATCGGCAGTATGAGGATACTCGTTGTCTGTGTAAACGGAAAAGCACGGGGCGACCAATATAGTGGTTTGAAAAGGAATGAATCATTTGTACTAACTCTGTATAATAGAAACAAGGTATATGAATACAGAACAGATTCACTTGGAGCAGGATGGAGACCAGTCACGGGTTCTTATGATCTTGGCAATGAGATTTGCGGATTACGTGAAACAAGAGCAATGTATAAGAACTTGTACTTCTTATTTTTTCTAGCATTTTTCATTAAATAATGAAGTTTTGAGGTAAAACATGAAGAAATACGCAATGAAATTTAATTTTCAGAACCCAGCGAATAAAGTCGAATGTCCCAACTAAAGGGGATAATTATTGTCACGTTTCACAGTAACTAAATATGGAGTTCGGATTGGTAATGGGATTTATCGGCCACTTAGGGGTCGTAACTGCAAATTAATTATAACATTATTATTGATTTTCATACTACAAAGTAAACCACGCTGGTCTCTTCAGTCTATCTGCACTAGTCTTCACGGATTTATAACACAGGAACTATATAAGTCTTACTAAATCACACGCTGCCGATACCACTGCACTATAGCATTCAGAAAGTCTTCAAATCACATGTTAAATGTTCACAGGCTGACTTCTTGCACTATTCTGTATTCCTCAAGGTTACTGTTTGCTTGCTGCACTCTTTCAGCTTACCACTGTGCTCCGGCCGCTTCGATGTTTGACTTAGGAATTCTGCTGTTTTATACAGACGCGGCACTAACATGGACCTACAGAAAACATCACGTGATCGCTATAAAGCTAGTTCACTGTCACTCTAGATGAACCTACAGAAAACACATATCACGTGATTTAGACATACTGTTGTATGACGTCACCGCGGACACAAAGAAAACACAACTTCTTCTGTTCTTGAGTGTTTGTATTTCGGACGTAGCCTAGGGATAACGTCCTTCTATTGTTGCGTTTTCGAACATGTTTGCGGAGATGTGGCCTAGCAGCGGGCATTCACGTTACATTATTTCTCTATGTGGACCGAAATGTGGCACTCTTCAGTAATTGATGCTTGTTCAACTCCAATCGAATGAAGTTAGCGAAACAGAAATGCGTCCAGAAGAAGAAAAAGAAGAAGAAGAAGATGATGATGATGAACTGAGATACAGATCCCAGATGTCGAACTTCTGAACAAGTCTTAAAAGCCGATGACACTGGAAGAGTAGCATCGGCCATTCCTGGGAGCTGATTCTTATGCAAACAATCGTATTTCAACATATTCCAGGTTGAATTACTCTCAGATTATTATACCCGAAATTTTTGGTGCAAACAGGGCCAAAGCAAACATAAAAATACGACTTGCGCAATGTTACATGTAGGTCTGACAACTGAAGTCGAGTCAACGAAAGGATCCACACAGATTCTCTCTACCAGCCTCCATAACCTTTGCCTCCCTCAGCGTCCCATTCCCACCCACACCGGTTGCCACTGTCTAGGGGTGTCATACAGTGTACGCAATGTGCGGAACCCTTTACTGCCATCACCTGTATGGTTTCTTTCGTTGGCCTCGCATGTAGGTACGTTATTAAGTTTTTATTAATGGCTTATTTAAAGACGCTTCCAATATCAGTTCTATACCATCGATTGATTGCACGATTAGCGAACAAATTCATTGTTAGGACTGTGAACAGAAGCGGTTGTTGGTTTTCAAGGGCACTATACGAACATTTTTCTAGATGGAGTTTGTATATCTACAAAAAGTCTTATAATTATGGTTCCAGCCTAGGTATGAACCCGGAATCTCCAAAATAAGAAGCAGGAATGCAAACCATTTCACCCCCACGATGAGTTCTCAAGCTATAGTATCTTTGAAAAAAAAAATATAATTCTTAGGCAGACAGATGATTTCCACCCCATCATAACTCTGATAATGGAATCCGGGTTTCCTCAGTCGGCATAGCAAAGGGCTACGAGCTGGACAGCTGGAGTTCGATTCCCGGCAAGGGTAGAATATTTATATCTACTGCACAGCGTTCAGACCGGCTCTGGTGCTCATCACGTCTTCTATTCAAGGGGTACAGTGGTCTCTTTCTCAGAGGGCAGAACTGCCGGTGCGGATATAGAGTGATGTGGTGAATGGTGCAGCTGTAACTCCACTCGCATGGCGTCGTGTTTAATTAATTAAGTACAAGGATTTTAGGCTTTTCTGTTTACCCAGACCCTGTCTTTTAATGAATAATAAGATGAGACACTGCT